TTGATTTTATACACTGATCACGTGATTTACGAAAAATCTAGGGAATTTTTTGAGTAACGTTACACTAAATCGTGGTTCATTATTGGCTTGTTTTGTTGATTGTCACGTGACAGTAAAATGTAATTTTTCTGGCGATCCTGGGTTATTACAGTGCATTAACCTCCACATTAATTTAAGCCTTAAACCCTAATCCTAAAGTTTAATTTTAGCTTTAAATTTTGAGGTAAAATTTTATATAGATTATATAATAATTCAAAACATGTATATAGTGATAAATTCAATTTACAATATATTTGAATTAGTAATTCTAATCACATCACCATATACGTTTTATTATAGTAACTTTATTATATACGTATTAAAATTTAAAATTAGGATTAGAGGTTAGAATTAGAACTAAGAAGGGTTTTTTTTTGGGACGATAAAGATTTTTACTTAGAGCAGTAAAGCTGTTTGAAATGAGTGTCGCTAAAAGAAAACCCGACAATTTAAATATGACTTATATTTAAATTTTCGGGGTTTTTTTTAGCGACACTCGAATATATAGTCCGACATGTGATATCGGATAGTATATTTATATCTATGAATTCAATATCAAATTAAATCACAAATTAACGTCAAATCACAAGTACGATTAGAAATTGGTAAAATATACAAGATTGATTTTTTTAAGTAATAATAGGTCTAAATAATTAGAAGATAAACTATATAACTATATAAGCTAACAATAGAATGTATACTACATTTTTAAATAAAATAATCTATACTTGATAAAGCAGGCTTAATATAATTAGAAACTTTCTGAACTCGCAGAACTTTTGCTACCATCGCCTTCTAAAGAAAGATCGTCCCAATTCATACTATCCCAATAATTCTCTATATACTTAACTATTTTAGCTACTGGACAATGCGCTTTGCTTTTTCTAACTTTTAAACCCATTTCCGCAGCTCTTTCTATTAACTCTTTATCCGTCAGTGTGTCAAGTAATGCTCTGTAAAGTTTGTCAGCTGTGATAGTACCTGCCGGAATACCTGCATTTACTGAGAGACCATGTCGATGCAATATAGACGCCCACCACGGTTGGTCTGCAAAGTGCGGAACCTAGAAAATAACGCCATAGATTAGCATAATATTATTTATTAAATGAGTGTCGCTAAAAGAAAACCGGTTTTCTTTTAGATATAGTTTTTTATATACTTACCGAAATTGAAGGAACACCAGCTCTTACGACAGTATGTGTTGTTCCTGCGCCTGCATGATGCACAACGCATGCAACATAACGAAATAGCCACGAATGAGGCACGTGCTCAACAAGAAATAGCTAAATTGAAAAAAAACGTTTCATTGAAAGTGGCTGATCCATCACCTTTTTTAGCCATATGTTTAATTGTC